AGCTACGCGGCGACCTCGAACATGAGCGGGACAGACGTCTTCAACTGACGTACGCTGTCTCGAAGCATCGAGCTGAGTTTGCCTTTGCTCAGCTTGAGAACGAGAGAGCTCTGAAGTCTCTGCGTGACGAGCTAAGGGTAGCTCGTGTGGATATTGACCGGTCTCGGGCTGAGATAACTGCTCTTCAGACCCTTGTCGATGGTCACCGTCGGGAGCACAAGGCTCTCTGTGAGATGCTTGAGCGCAAGGGCGTTCTTCATCGGAAGAAGCAGCGTACTGATGGTACGGCTTAAGCCGACCAACGTAAAACGTGGGATGCGTTTGCATCTTACGTGGCAACTCGATCGTGTATGCAGTGCCAAGGCGGTGCAATACACGAAATGGACCGATGTACTTGGGTAGTAGTTTACTGCTACCCAAGTTAGTCACTACATGCTTTGGTAGATTAACCGTAGACGGTAGGACTAAGTCACCTTTATTAAATAAAAGAGTGTTTGCCCTTTCGTTCTTGTCAGCGTTTTGCTTTTGCTTATCCACCGCTTCGGCGATGGAGTCTTGCACAAAACGGACTACCGTTTCACGAGCCAGTATGAACTCATCTGATGACTCGTTAGCTTCAGTGCGCTGTGAGTGCACTGCAGCAACATCAATCTTTTCTTCAGTGAGGGCTTCCTCGCTCTCACTGGCATCATCTTCTTCGATATCGATGTTGTCGATATCGGCGTCAAACGCAATGACCTCTTCGTCAGAGCGTGATGAGCGTGAACCAAATCGGTTTTGCTCGCGCGAGTCCCTCCCCCCCTTAAATCAGAGTTACACTCGAGTAAGGTGGGTACACGCGGATGGTGCAAGCCATTCACGTAAAACGGTGTATGTGTCGTGCATGCATGCACCGAGTTGTTAATGGCAAACTCTACCATTGGCAAAAACTCACTCCAACTCTTAAAGGAGTGTACGTATCCTCGAAGTATCTCTTCGAGGACACGATTGGCACGTTCCGTCTGACCATCTGACTCTGGATGATCAGATGTAGACATCTTCAAGCGCGTTCCGAGTGATTTGAACACGGAACGCCAGAAATCAGCAGTGAATCGTGGATCTCTGTATGATACGAGTTCACGGGGAAACCCATGACGTCGGAAGATGGTGTACAAAGACACAAGCACAGCCACTTGCCGTGATTGAATCTGGTACAGCCACAAGGTGTACCATTTTGCTGAATCTGTCAACAAATACGAGAATACCCGTATTCCCGCGTGCGTCTTTGGGTAACCCGAAGACAAAATCCATTGAGATGGATTCCCAGCACTCAGCCGGAACTGGTAGAGGCTGTAAAGGTGCACGCAGTGAAGGACTTGACTTCACTCGTTGGCAGACTTCGCATGCGCGAACATACTTTCGCATAAACAGATACTGGCGGGGCCAGTAAAAGTCTCGATTCACCGTGAGATATGTTTTCTCCCGGCCACGATATCCTCCTATAGGAGCATCGTGATACTCGAACATGATCCGCAAACGCAGATCAGTATCATCTGGAATGCCAACACGTGGTGTGTCACCAGCAACGGCTGTATAATACAGTAATCCATTGCGAGTAGCGTATCGATCTGATGCAGATCGATACGCAGACGATGATCGTTTCAACGATTCTCGAGATGGCTGAGAGATTTGTCAACACCTTCACAATCTCACCATCTTGGGCGTACGCCCGCCTCACATCATCATGCAAAGTTGAAGATGGGACTGAGGACGTCATAAGCACAACAGCGACTGTCTCACTGTTGGGTTTCACGACTGGTTCAAAGTCGGGACGACGTGAGAGTGCATCAGCGACGACATTAAGTCGTCCTGGTTTGTACTCGACCGTAAAGTTGTATTCTGCAAAAAAAGACAACCACCGCGCCGTTCGTTGTGAAAGGTGCGGGCTGTTTACTGCCGTGCGTAACGACGCATGGTCAGTGTAAACAATGAAGGGTCTGTCTCCTAATAGATAGACTCTGAACTTCGCAAATGCATACTTCATGGCAAGGCGTTCCTTGACATGAACCGGATAGTTCCGCTCAGCTGGTTGCAGCTGACGCGACTGATAGCAGACGACGCGTTCAACGCCTTCAAGATCGTACTGCATTAATGCACAGCCGATTGCGAGATCGCTGGCATCACAGACCACATGAAATGGCCTGTCCTGATCGTCTATTGCTAGGACTGGGGATTGTATTAATCTCTGCTTGATACCATCAAAGGAGCGCTGACATTCAGCGTTCCATAACCACCTCTCGTTCTTTTTCAACAAACGAGAGAGGTGCACAGTCATCTCGGCGCAATTGCGTGAATACTTATGCAAATACGCCGCTAGCCCAAGGAATTTTCGAAGACCTTTGACATCAACCGTCACAGGCCAGTCGGTGATCGCCTTGATCTTTTCAGGATCAGGACGTACACCGTTCTTACCAACGATGTACCCAAGAAGTGGTATTTCGCTCGCTGCAAATATACACTTCTTGAGGTTTGCATACAATTGATGCTTTTGCATGATTGTAAGAACCTGTCGGACGTGGATTCTGTGAACCTCAACATCCATCTTTCCATCCATAGCCCGACTATGGATGAATACGTCATCGAAATAACTCGGCGCGAATTCTCGTACTGGTCTCAACAGATGTGATACACATCTGTTGAACGTGGCAGGGGCATTACTAAGCCCTTGTGGCATTACTAGCCATTCCCAGAGCATGCCGCTAGGCGTGCTAACTGCGGTATAGGGTATATCCCGTTCTCGCATAAGAATTTGATCGAAGCCATCCATCAAATCCATGGACGAAAAGATGGTACTCTTTGACATACCATCAATGATTACGTCCTTCCTTGGTATCGGCGTCTGAGCCGGTACCGTTGCAGCATTCAACTTGTATAATGCATGCACTATCCGCCACCCTCATGTTGCTTTTCGCACACAGAAGGTCGGAGAGCTATGCGGGGAAGTTGATTCCCTCACATGGCCCGCTGCCGAACGATCGGCAAAGAACTTGTCGATCGCAAGTACTTGTTCACGAGGCAGTGGCCACTGCTTCATGACACATTACTTCGAGCCTGGTTTAAGCTCGACCTCGTGTCGAATACCTTGATACTTCGGTAATTCGCACGGAGCAGTTTCAGGGAATACATCCTTGAATTCAACCAAATCTTCATAGAGAGGATTTTTCTTGAGCGATTCCCATGATTGGGAGTCATATCGCTCAATTCGTGTCTTTTCATCTAGGACAATCTCGTCCATAGATGAACTACTGAGAACTCTCTCGTTCTCAGTGAACACTGTTGCTGACCTTATGTCGGCTACGCACTCGTCGTCAGCGACGAGTACGCAGATCTGCTAGACTTTGCCACTACGCAGATTACGCAAGAACCTTTAATTTTCGAGCGTTGGCAACTGAGTGATCTCCGAAGTCAACTTCGGAGGCGCAATCAGATCAAGTGTATAAGCGCCTACACTTGATCCGTTATTGACTATGACATTCAATGTATCTGTCATTTCCTGGGAACTTATTCCCTCAGGTCTCGATGGACTTATTCCTTCGGCTTCCCGTGGACTTATTCCCGCGGGTTTCGGGGAACTTATTTCCGCCGTATTTGTAATATCGGGACTTATTCCCTTAACTTCCTCTAGCTGGGGTTGCGCAACCACAGCGAGATCCTCTACGAAAGACTCTTCAGTCGATCAAGGATTATCGTTTCGCTTAACCTGAGCGATGGATTATTTCTCTTCTAGATGTTCCCCGCTAGGGATACATCTCTGTCCCGGTCCACTCGACTTATTCGAGTGGTGAACCTTCGGCGCAGCCTGTGTTTCCTCACAGCCGCCGGAACTTTGCTCCGAAGTGTAACCGTTTGTGACACTAAGGTTTTGTGCAGTCGTACTAACGACCGTACCACAAGTGAGGCCATCGCACTCACTCGTAGTACATCCACACGCTTGTGGACGCTCCAAAACGTTCATCGGATGTCCATCTGGTGAACAAGCGGCAGGCATCGTTACTGTTCGATGTTGCCAGTTTACCCGTGCTTCGTACCTTCTGAGCCACGGTATTCCAAGGATGACATCAAGTTTGTCATCCAAATCCAATACGATAAAGTCATCGTCATATTGGCTATTTTCTAGCTTATAGTGAATCTTCACTATACGCTTCATGACGGTTACGGATGCGCCTGTCGCAAGACGTACCGTCATCCTCATAGGAGGTGTGTCACATTCATCAAACTTAAAATGACCATCTTCTAGCGATTGGCGTCGCACAAAATTGTTGGACGCCCCACAATCGACTAGAGCTCGAAGGGACAACTTATTTGTCACTTCGAGTTTCAAGGTAACGAGTGAGATATCATTATCTAGAGCAGCAACGCACAACGTTTGTGTGTTGGGAGCAACCTTCATCAAGAGGCCCACAAATTCTCTTGACGTTGCTGGACCAGTAGGGTGCTCCGCACCTACTGATCCTGTCCGTTTTTTGACGGTCCATCCCGTTGTTGCGTCTTTGCACCAACTGCGGACCCGCGTCCCTGCCCCTTTCTCATGGGTGAACGGTCACCACACCCAGTGTTGCGAGACACTGGATGAGGGGCACTACACTCGTAAGCGTAGTGTCCTGCCTTTTGACGTCTGTTGCATTTCTGCACCTTCTTGTAGTCTGTAGATCGAGCCTTCTCGCTCTCTACAGAACAGAGTTCCATCGGCTCTGGACCTCCGCTGTCATATCGTCTCGGTTGACGATATGATGTCGAGCTGGCGCGAGCCTGTCTCAGACTGAAGTCTTCCTGTTCCGCAATGGAAATGGCTTGTTCTAGTGAATCTAGTTCAAGTCAGAAAAGGTGAGTCTTGACGGGACCATCCGCAAGACCCTGCATGAACACCGAAACCAACGTGTGTTCATCGACCGGGTTGGAACTTATACAACTCGGAGATGTCGTATATGTTGGGCGTAAGCGTGCACATCACGCTTACCCTGCTAGAGCTTCAAGAGTTCGGTTCGAGCTCTGAACTCAGCTCTAGGCAGTTCAAACGTTTGTCTGAGCCGCGACTTGAAGACTTCTAACGACCCAAACGCATATGGGTCGCGCAACTTGAGTCCCAAAGCCCAAGTCTTGGCACGTCCTGCCAAATTTGATTGGGCAAATGCAACTTGCATATCCCCGTCGTCGATGCGACGCACCCTTATGGCGTCATCCAATTCGACGAACCATCTCAAGAGGGAGTCCTCTTCGACTCCCCTATACTTGGAGATGAAAATCTTCAATGTCCCGGGTCCACGCGAGTGCATCGACCCACCAGCAGCAGCCTGCTGCTGTCTCAACAGTTCAAACTTGTGAGCACCCTGTTCTCTCAACGACTCTGATTGTTGAGAACCTTGTTGGTGAAGCAAGGCTACTTTCTCGCGTTCAGCGTCAAGTTCATTTTGAATGAACTTGGCGATAGTAGCATGTTGGGCATCTCTATTGAGAGCCTCTAGCATGACGCTAAAATCATGGATGCCCATGGTTGAACCCATCCGTTCAACCGCATCCCATTCGACATCGCTCAAATGGGAGTAGCCGTCACGCTTAGCGTGAAAGCTTTGGTCATCTTCATCATCCAACATATTCATGTTAGATGTGAACGTGGTCCTTGGACGGACTACGAAGTGCTACCAGGTGTATCGGGGCACTCTGAAGCTTGTACTGGTGACAGTACAAGCTACTTATTCTGATGACAGAATAAGGCGGTGCCTCGGAACTTCACGTACACTCGTACGTGCAGAGGAAGACGGTAAGAAGAAGCGAGTACTTGGTTAAAGTAAAAAGTAGAACTGCATTTATCAAAGTTAATGTCTGTTAATAAATCACTATTTATCCTCATCTAACTATGTCTGAATACAAATGTGCATATCAACTATCTGCTCACCACTCATTGCGTGCGTCTGTCGTGGCGCGTCTTCGTTGGTTATATAATGGCATATATCAACCAATTAGGAACTACTCGTAAGTGCTGTAGAATATTTGTCCTTATGACAATATTCTGAGAATATAACTCTTATAGTAATATTCTATTAACAATTTCTTATAAATTGTTATGTAACGATTTACCCCGTTACATCACCCCCCCCCCTTAACCATCGGTCACTTTAGTGACTGATTGACTAAAGGGATACTCGTCCCAAATCATTCGGGACAGGGTTTGCAATTATTGGTCCGAGTCCACGTTCCAACAGTTCATCGCATGGTTAACAAGCCCATGCGGTGCGCGAACAAGGCCGCTGACAGCGCGTCTGCACGTCTCTGTGCGGACGCCGAAGCAGAAACCACAGCAACTGATGTCTCATCGGTTGCTGAAGCGTCTCAGTCTGTATCACCTGGTGATGCAGACGGTCGTTATTGAGACACTCATGTCTTCACAGAGTATGAGCTCGGTGTTTCATGCTCCCCTGATACGGAAGACGGATCCGTATCGACGGCGATTGAATCCAAGCCGCCTGCCAAGCGTGGCATGGATGATGCTATGCGTCGCAGCATCTTTGGTTCATCTGATGAATCAGATGAACCATCGCCGAAGCGAAGGCGCTCGAGGTCGCGAGACTCGGGCGCTAACAGTGGTGTAGGTTCTCCTATGGACACCACTTCGCAACGAGGTGCCAGTACTTCTGTCGGTACGTCGCAATAAAAGCGTGACCGCAGTGTGTTGCGTCTCGCTCCTGAGAAGAAGGCATGGATGCCTCCAAAATCAGTCATGGATCACTTGTCGGCGACGACGAGTGATCATTATCGAACACGGTTGTTTGATTCGTCAAGAATCCATCACCTTGACCCCAGCGCGAAGAACTATCGCGCTGAGAATGAATTCTTCATCGATGCTTTCTTTAGGCATCGATGGTACAGTGGGAATCACAAGCGTGATGGTCCCTCCCTGCTTCAAGCGTGGAACGCCTACATCCATAACCTCGAGGATGTAGGTCGTGACGCTTGGAACGACAAACTTATCAAAGCTCGTGATAAGTTTAATAAGAGAACCCCGACTGGTGCACGCTACAAGCTGCATCGTCTGTCAAGGGAGAAAGGATTACCCTGCCTCTCATGGGGAGACTCGTGCCCATGTTGTGTGAACAACTCTGCACGAGCACCTAAGGAGGCTTACCTCCCTACTAGCCCGTAGTGGCGCGTACGTATCTCTAGTGAGATGTACGAAGGGATTGACAACCTGAAATCCCTTTACGACCGTGCCGGGAAAACTTTCTCCGGCGGGCCTTCTGCGGCACAGGATGTACCGCGTCGTACTGCTCAACCAGACCCAGTACGTCAACCGTCAGTTGGGAGCGGGGCTCCCAAGTATCCCAGGACGGGGGATAGCCACGCCACCGGACGAGATAACTCGTCCGACGTCCGTTCACGTCGCGGTGGTTCAACAGCTGCTCAACCAGATAGCGCTGGCCACCGCGAGAGTCCTCTAATGGAGGTGGAGGAGGAGGGAAAACGCTCTCCACACGATCATGGAGATCCGTGTGTTCCCAAAAGCTTTTTTAATCGCGTAACGCAAGGGTTACGCGGCGACCTCGAACATGAGCTGGACAGGCGTCTTCAACTGACGTACGCTGTCTCGAAGCATCGAGCTGAGTTTGCCTTTGCTCAGCTTGAGAACGAGAGAGCTCTGAAGTCTCTGCGTGACGAGCTAAGGGTAGCTCGTGTGGATATTGACCGGTCTCGGGCTGAGATAACTGCTCTTCAGACCCTTGTCGATGGTCACCGTCGGGAGCACAAGGCTCTCTGTGAGATGCTTGAGCGCAAGGGCGTTCTTCATCGGAAGAAGCAGCGTACTGATGGTACGGCTTAAGCCGACCAACGTAAAACGTGGGATGCGTCCGCATCTTACGTGGTAACTCGATCGTGTATGCATTGCCTAGGCGGTGCAATACACGAAATGGGCCGATGTACTTGGGTAGTAGTTTACTGCTACCCAAGTTAGTCACTACATGCTTTGGTAGATTAACTGTAGAGAGTAGGACTAAGTCACCTTTGTTAAATAAAAGAGTGTTTGCCCTTCCATTCTTGTCAGCGTTTTGCTTTTGCTTATCCACCGCTTCGGCGATGGAGTCTTGCACAAAACGGACTACCGTTTCACGAGCCAGTATGAACTCATCTGATGACTCGTTAGCTTCAGTGCGCTGTGAGTGCACTGCAGCAACATCAATCTTTTCTTCAGTGAGGGCTTCCTCGCTCTCACTGGCATCATCTTCTTCGATATCGATGTTGTCGATATCGGCGTCAAACGCAATGACCTCTTCGTCAGAGCGTGATGAGCGTGAACCAAATCGGTTTTGCTCGCGCGAGTCCCCCCCCTTAAATCAGAGTTACACTCGAGTAAGGTGGGTACACGCGGATGGTGCAAGCCATTCACGTAAAACGGTGTATGTGTCGTGCATGCATGCACCGAGTTGTTAATGGCAAACTCTACCATTGGCAAAAACTCACTCCAACTCTTAAAGGAGTGTACGTATCCTCGAAGTATCTCTTCGAGGACACGATTGGCACGTTCCGTCTGACCATCTGACTCTGGATGATCAGATGTAGACATCTTCAAGCGCGTTCCGAGTGATTTGAACACGGAACGCCAGAAATCAGCAGTGAATCGTGGATCTCTGTCTGATACGAGTTCACGGGGAAACCCATGACGTCGGAAGATGGTGTACAAAGACACAAGCACAGCCACTTGCCGTGATTGAATCTGGTACAGCCACAAGGTGTACCATTTTGCTGAATCTGTCAACAAATACGAGAATACCCGTATTCCCGCGTGTGTCTTTGGGTAACCCGAAGACGAAATCCATTGAGATGGATTCCCAGCACTCAGCCGGAACCGGTAGAGGCTGTAAAGGTGCACGCAGTGAAGGACTTGACTTCACTCGTTGGCAGACTGCGCATGCGCGAACATACTTTCGCACAAACTGATACTGGCGGGGCCAGTAAAAGTCTCGACTTACCGTGAGATATGTTTTCTCTCGGCCACGATGTCCTCCTATAGGAGCATCGTGATACTCGAACATGATCCGCAAACGCAGATCAGTATCATCTGGAATGACAACACGTGGTGTGTTACCAGAAACGGCTGTATAATACAGTAAACCGTTGCGAGTAGTGTATCGATCTGATGCAGATCGATACGCAGACGACAATCGTTTCAACGATTCTCGAGATGGTTGGGAGAGATGTGTCAACAACTTCACTATCTCACCAACTTGGGCGTATGCCCACCTCACATCATCATACAATGTTGTAGATGGGACTGAGGACGTCATAACCGCAACAGTGACTGTCTCACTGTTGGGTTTCGCGACTGTTTCAAAGTCGGGACGACGTGAGAGTGCATCAGCGACGACGTTAAGTCGTCCTGGTTTGTACTCGACCGTAAAGTTGTATTTTGCAAAGAATGACAACCACCGCGCCATTCGTTGTGAAAGGTGCGGGCTGTTCACTGCCGTGCGTAACGACGCATGGTCAGTGTAAACAATGAAGGTTCTGTCTCCTAATAGATAGACTCTGAACTTCGCAAATGCATACTTCATGGCAAGGCGTTCCTTGACATGAACCGGATAGTTCCGCTCAGCTGGTTGCAGCTGACGCGACTGATAGCAGACGACGCGTTCAACGCCTTCAAGATCGTACTGCATTAATGCACAGCCGATTGCGAGATCGCTGGCATCACAGACCACATGAAATGGCCTGTCCTGATCGTCTATTGCTAGGACTGGGGATTGTATTAATCTCTGCTTGATACCATCAAAGGAGCGCTGACATTCAGCGTTCCATAACCACCTCTCGTTCTTTTTCAACAAACGAGAGAGGTGCACAGTCATCTCGGCGTAATTGCGTGAATACTTATGCAAATACGCCGCTAGCCCAAGGAACTTTCGAAGACCTTTGACATCAACCGGCACAGGCCAGTCGGTGATCGCCTTGATCTTTTCGGGATCAGGACGTACACCGTTCTTACCAACGATGTACCCAAGAAGTGGTATTTCGCTCGCTGCAAATATACACTTCTTGAGGTTTGCATACAATTGATGCTTTCGCATGATTGTAAGAACTTGTCGGACGTGGATTCTGTGAACCTCAACATCCATCTTTCCATCCATAGCCCGACTATGGATGAATACGTCATCGAAATAACTCGGCGCGAATTCTCGTACCGGTCTCAACAGATGTAATACACATCTGATGAACGTGGCAGGGGCATTACTAAGCCCTTGTGGCATTACTAGCCATTCCCAGAGCATGCCGCTAGGCGTGCTAGCTGCGGTATAGGTTATATCCCGTTCTCGCATAAGGATTTGATAGAAGCCATCCATCAAATCCATGGACGAAAAGATGGTACTCTTTGACATACCATCAATGATTACGTCCTTCCTCGGTATCGGCGTCTGAGCCGGTACCGTTGCAGCGTTCAATTTGTTAAATGCATGCACTATCCGCCACCCTCCTGTTGCTTTTCGCACACAGAAGGTCGGAGAGCTATGTGGGGAAGTTGATTCCCTCACATGGCCCGCTGCCGAACGATCGGCAAAGAACTTGTCGATCGCAAGTACTTGTTCACGAGGCAGTGGCCACTGCTTCATGACACAGTACTCCGAGCCTGGTTTAAGCTCGACCTCGTGTCGAATACCTTTATCCTTCGGTAATTCGCACGGAACAGTTTCAGGGAATACATCCTTGAATTCAACCAAATCTTCATAGAGAGGATTTTTCTTGAGCGATTCCCATGATTGGGAGTCATATCGCTCAATTCGTGTCTTTTCATCTAGGACACTCTCGTCCATAGATGAACTACTGAGAACTCTCTCGTTCTCAGTGAACACTGTTGCTGACCTTATGTCGGTTAAACACTCGTCGTCAGCGACGAGTACGCAGATCTGCTAGACTTTGCCACTACGCAGATTACGCAAGAACCTTTAATTTTCGAGCGTTGGCAACTGAGTGATCTCCGAAGTCAACTTCGGAGGCGCAATCAGATCAAGTGTATAAGCGCCTACACTTGATCCGTTATTGACTATGACATTCAATGTATCTGTCATTTCCTGGGAACTTATTCCCTCAGGTCTCGATGGACTTATTCCTTCGGCTTCCCGTGGACTTATTCCCGCGGGTTTCGGGGAACTTATTTCCGCCGTATTTGTAATATCGGGACTTATTCCCTTAACTTCCTCTAGCTGGGGTTGCGCAACCACAGCGAGATCCTCTACGAAAGACTCTCCAGTCGATCAAGGATTATCGTTTCGCTTAACCTGAGCGATGGATTGTTTCTCTTCTAGATGTTCCCCGCTGGGGATACATCTCTGTCCCGGTCCACTCGACTTATTCGAGTGGTGGACCTTCGGCGCAGCCTGTGTTTCCTCACAGCCGCCGGAACTTTGCTCCGAAGTGTAACTGTTTGTGACACTAAGGTTTTGTGCAGTCGTACTAACGACCGTACCACAAGTGAGGCCATCGCACTCACTCGTAGTACATCCACACGCTTGTGGACGCTCCAAAACGTTCATCGGATGTCCATCTGGTGAACAAGCGGCAGGCATCGTTACTGTTCGATGTTGCCAGTTTACCCGTGCTTCGTACCTTCTGAGCCACGGTATTCCAAGGATGACATCAAGTTTGTCATCCAAATCCAATACGATAAAGTCATCGTCATATTGGCTATTTTCTAGCGTATAGTGAATCTTCACTATACGCTTCATGACGGTTACGGATGCGCCTGTCGCAAGACGTACCGTCATCCTCGTAGGAGGTGTGTCACACTCACTGAAATTGAAGTGACCATGTCCTAGCGATTGGCGTCGCAAAAATTTGTTGGACGCCCCACAATCGACTAGAGCTCGAAGGGACAACTTATTCGTCACTTCGAGTTTCAAGGTAATGCGTGAGTCCTCATTACCTAGAGCAGCAACGCACAACGTTTTTGCGTTAGGAGCAACCTTCATCAAGAGGCCTACAAATTCTCTTGACGTTGCTGGACCAGTAGGGTGCTCCGCACCTACTGATCCTGTCCATTTTTTGACGGTCTATCCCGTTGTCGCGTCTTTGCACCAACAGCGGACCCGCGTTCCTGCCCCTTTCTAATGGGTGGACGGTCACTACGTTCAGTGTTGCGAGACACTGGATGAGGGGCACTACACTCGTAAGCGTAGTGTCCTGTCTTCTGACACCTGTTTCATTTCTGCAACTTCTTGTAGTCTGTAGAGCGAGTCTTCTCGCTCTCTACATAACAGAGTTCCATCGGCTCTGGACCTCCGCTGTCATATCGTCTAGGTTGACGGTATGATGTCGAGCTGGCGCGAGCCTGTCTCAGACTGAAGTCTTCCTGTTCCGCAATGGAAATGGCTTGTTCTAGTGAATCTAGTTCAAGTCGGAACAGGTGAGTCTCGACGGGACCATCCGCAAGACCCTGCATGAACACCGAAACCAACGTGTGTTCATCAACCGGATTGGAACTTATACAACTCGTGAGATGTCGTATATGTTGCGCGTAAGCGTACACATCACGCTTACCCTGCTTGAGCTTCAAGAGTTCGGTTCGAGCTCTGAACTCAGCTCTAGGCAGTTCAAACGTTTGTCTGAGCCGCGACTTGAAGACTTCTAACGACCCAAACGCATATGGGTCGTGCAACTTGAGTCCCAAAGCCCAAGTCTTGGCACGTCCTGCCAAATTTGATTGGGCAAATGCAACTTGCATATCCCCGTCGTCGATGCGACGCACCCTTATGGCGTCATCCAATTCGACCAATCATCTCAGGAGGAAGTCCTCTTCGACTCCCCTATACTTGGAGATGTCAATCTTCAAGGTTTCGGGTCGACGCGAGTGCATCGACCCACCAGCAGCAGCCTGCTGCTGTCTCAACAGTTCAAACTGTTGAGCACCCTGTTCTCTCAACGACTCTGATTGTTGAGAACCTTGTTGGTGAAGCAAGGCTACTTTCTCGCGTTCAGCGTCAAGTTCATTTTGAATGAACTTGGCGATAGTAGCATGTTGGGCATCTCTATTGAGATCCTCTAGCATGACGATAATAGCATGGATGCCCATGGTTGAACCCATCCGTTCAACCGCATCCCATTCGACATCGCTCAAATGGGAGTAGCCGTCACGCGTAGCGTGAAAGCTTTGGTCATCTTCATCATCCAACATATTCATGTTAGATGTGAACGTGGTCCTTGGACGGACTACGAAGTGCTACCAGGTGTAACGGGGCACTTTGAAGCTTGTACTGGTGACAGTACAAGCTACTTATTCTGATGATATAATGAGGCGGTGCCTCGGAACCTCACGTGCACTGGTACGTGTAGAGGAAGAAATTAGGAGAAGCGAGTACTTGATTAAAGTAAAACGTAGAACTGTATTTATCAAAGTTAATGTCTGTTAATAAATCACTATTTATCCTCATCTAACTATGTCTGAATACAAATGTGCATATCAACTATCTGCTCACCACTCATTGCGTGCGTCGGTCTTGGCGTGTCTTCGTTGGTTGATATAATGGCATATATCAACCAATTAGGAACTACTCGTAAGTGCTACAGAATATTTGTCCTTATGACAATATTCTGAGAATACAACTCTTATAGTAATATTCTATTAACAATTACTTATAAATTGTTATGTAACGATTCACCCCATTACAACTCTCCCTTTCCTTCTCCGGGTCATTTATATAACTTCTTAGGCCTCGCTGCTTTGTTTATCTTATTACTGTCCCTTTCGATCGCGTCCAGGCTTTCTGTAACGGAGCACCCTTTGTTTGGGTGCCACGAAACTTCACGTACACTAGTACATGCAGAGGAAGCTAATAGACTTAACGACTAAGCTGAGTAAAAGAATAAAAAGAGAACTGTGTTTGATATAGTTAACCTATCGGCATTACTTTAATCTCTATCTAACTATATTAGACTACGTCGTCGTATGACGACAACCTGCTCAACCCCCATTGCGCGCGCCTAGCAGCGATTGGTAGTAATCTAAGGTTGCTATGTTGTTTATCAACCAATCTTTGAGCAGCGCATGACCATCATCCTACAAAGGGAAGAATGTTCCTTCAATGTTATTTCATCTCGGATAATATCGGTAGAATATTGTCATGCTAGATAATTTCCCTACGGACACCGTTTAGTGTCACAATCATGTAACGGGCTACCCTGTTACATCACCCCTCTTAACCATCAATCACCCGTTGATTGAATTTAGCTGATCGGGACAGGGTCACCACAGCTTGATCACTCTTGGAAAAGGGAGCACTAGTTGGTCAAATTCCACTCATTTGACAATCTAACGCATGATTTCCAAAACCACGCGAGCTGCTATTGCAGCAGCAAGAAAGGTGGCTGGACGCATGCGACCAGCCGGAATTGAACTTCTCACACCTCAGCAGCAGGTGATTCGTCGCCTGCTGCTGTGAACAATCCACGTGGTGAGTTACCACGTGCGACAGCTACATCGGCTGCGTCTGCAGCGGGTACCGCGGATCGTAATCCGGATGAGTCTGAAAAGATCTCATCTATTCTGGCGAGTCGGATAATGTATCCGACACCTCACGCCTCCGGATCCCCCGGAAAGGACACTGCAAGAGCCAGGTTGACTGGCTCTGGTCAAAGTGGCGGAATCATGTCCGAGATCTTCGGATCGAGCGATTGTTTCGACGAATCCTTGCCTCACGCGGGTCCATCCAACGATAGGGCGCGTGGGGATGGTGGTGATGTCTCTGAGCATCACCACGAGCGAAGCAACTCAAGGGATCGGGGTAACACTGGTGCCAGTGCTCATGCTGGCACCAATCAAGAGGCCAGGGACCAAAATGTCCTACGCCACGCCCCTCAAGTGGAGTATCCGTGGATACCGCCATCCAGAGAGTTGAACCGGTTGGACGGCACGACTACCGAACGGGATCGAATCCCGTTGTTCGATTGCAGGAAGATTTGCCCACCTGATTCCAGCACGGAAATTATCCGTGCTAAAGAAGAATTCTTAACCGATGCGTTCTTCAAACATCGGTGGTACAATGGTAGCCGTGAACGAGACGGCAAAGCCTTGGTGCAAGGATGGAATGCCTTCATCCATAACATCGAGTGCATCGGCCGTGATGCCTGACTCGCCGAATTTGATGCAGCTTGCATCAGGTTTGAACAACGCAACCCATTCAGGGTGTGATACAAGTTGCACCGGCTTTCAAGAGAGGCAGAATTAAACTGTCTCTCGTGGGGTGATTCGTGTCCAGGTTACCTGGAAAACTCGAACCGTGCCCCTAGGGAGGTCTACCTCCCTAATGATCCCTACTGGACGGCGCGCATCTCTTCCGAGATGGCCGAAGGGATTGACACCTTGCAATCCCTGTACTCGCGTTCGGTGAGGTCATTTTCCGACGGCCCTTCTTCGAACGCAGCCGGTGGGTCTCGTCGTACTACTCGACGAGACCAAGGACATCAACAATCAGCTGGGTACGAGGCTCCCAGCTGTCCCAGGTCGGAGAATAGCCACGTCAGCAGTCGAGGTAACTCGTCCGGACGCCATTCAGATCGCGGTGGTTCAAGATACGCTCCATAAGAAAACGTTCACCACCGCCTGAGTCCACCAAAGGATGTGGTGGTGGCGGGATAACCTGATCCGGCTCGAGGTTCGGATCAGCTTGATGTTCAGGAGCTGAACCGTTTAACGGAACTGTTGCAAGATGACTTGGCTTATGAACGGACTCGGCGTTATGAGCTCCATGACCTTGAAAACGATCATTATAATTCCTTAGCGCACAATCGTTTAAACGATCGTGCCGCGTTTGCGCTCGCACCATTTAAGAACGAACGTTCGGCCCGTTATCTTCGTGATGATCTGGCTGCAGCTTGTCGAGACATCGTTCAACTGCGTGAACAGGTCGCTTCGCTAGTCGACCATACTGGCTTGTTGAAACGGGACCACTCGAATGTGGTCTCGGCTCTCGACCGCAGAGGTGTTCTTCGCATCTCGAAACGGGCTCCTACTGATAGTACGGGCGGAGACGTCCAACGTAAACCGTAGGATGCGTACGCATCTTACGGGGCAGTTCAATCGTGTATGCGTTGCCCATTAGGCGCAACAGACGAAATGGATCGATATACTTGGGCAGTAATTTACTGCTGCCCACGTTTGTCACTGCGTGTTTCGGTAGATTTACTGTAGACAGTAAAACTAAGTCTCCTTCATCAAATGAAAGAACATTTGCTCATTCATGTTTGTCTGCGTTTCTTTTCTGCTTTTAGATTGCATCTGCTATAGAATCTTGAACGAAGTGGACTATGCTTCGCGATTCAGCAGAAATTCCTCTACTGATTTATCCTTGTCAACAGCAATGCGCTTCGTGTGCAATGCTGAATGGACGTTGTCTTCACCAGTGAGGGCGTCATCGTCCTCACTGAGGCAGTCGTTGGCGATGCTGAATAAAACAGCATCGTCTTCACCATCATCATCGATGTCGATCGCATCGACATCGGCATCCATCACGTCGACACCATTGTCGACGGGTGATGAGCAAGAACCAGATCGGTTTTTGTTCGAGCGAGTCCACCCGCCCTTAAAAAAGATTCACACTCTAAGAAGGCGGGCAAACGTGGATGGCGTAGGCCATTCACGAAGAACGGTGTATGCGTTGTAGACGCATGCACCCAGTTGTTGATGGCAAATTCCGCCATCGGCAAGAACTCACTCCAGCTCGTAAACGAGTGGACATACCCTCGAAGTATCTCTTCGAGGACGCGGTTGATGCGTTCCGTCTGACCGTCTGTTTCGGGATGGTCAGAAGTTGACATCTTCAAACGTGTTCCAAGTGAACGGAACACGGATTGTCAGAACTCCGCTGTGAAGCGGGGGTCCCTATCGGACACGAGTTCACTGGGTAACCCATGGGGTCGGAAGATAGTATCGATGAAGACACGCGCACAGCCCCTGGGCTGTGATTGACTCCGGTACAGCAACAAGGTGTACCATCTTGCTGAACCGATCAACAATCCCAAGAATACCAGCATTCATGTGAACGTCTTTGGGGAATCCAAAGACGAAGTCCATCGATACGGACTGCCAACACTCTTCCGGAATTGGTAGAGGCTGCAAGGGTGAGCGGGATGAAGTACTAGGCTTCACCCGTTGACAAACTTCGCATGCGCGAATGTATTTGCGCACAAACTCATACTGGCGGGGCCAGCAGAAGTCACGACTCACCGTGAGGGGTTTCTTTTCCCTACCGCGATGCCCACTTGTTGGGATATCGTGACACGCATAGATGATGCGCAATCGCAAATCATTATGAGCGGGAACGACGACACGAGGTGTGTCGCCGTTGACTGCTGTGTAGTACAGCAGTCCATCACGAACCGAGTACCGTTCTGTTGAAGAGCGTTATTAAGACGACAAGCTTTTCAAAGCTTGATTACACGGATTGGATACGTAATCCATCAACCGCAGAAGAGACTCGTCTTCTGTGTATGCTTTTCGCACGTCATCGAGCAGATTCGACGACGGAACACTAACTGTTAGTGTCGCGACAGTGGGATCACACTTACTGTTGGGTTGAGCAGTCGGCTCGAAATCGGGCCGACGCGAAAGAGCATCAGCGACGACATTTAGTCGTCCTGGTTTGTACTCGACCGTAAAGTTGTATTCTGCGAAGAATGACAACCACCGCGCCATTCGTTGTGAAAGGTGCGGGCTGTTCACTGCCGTGCGTAATGACGCATGGTCAGTGTAAACAATGAAGGGTCTATCTCCGAAGATACATACCCGAAACTTGGCCGGTGCATATTTTATGGCAAGGAGTTCCTTAACATGAATTGGATAATTTCGCTCAGCTGCTTGCAGCTGACGCAATTGATAACAGACGACGCGTTCAACGCCGTCTGAGTCGTACTGCATTAACGTGCAGCCGATTGCAAAATTGCTGGCATCACAGACCACATGGAGTGGTCCGTCCTGGTCTGCAATTGCCAACAAAGGCGGTTATATCAATCTTTTCTTGATACCTTCGAAGGAGTGCTGACACTCATCACTCCATAACCACCTCTCGTTTTTCTTTAACAGGCGAGAGAGAGATGTACTGTCATCTCGGCATAGTTGCGCGAGTATTTGTGCAAATACGCTGCCAAGCCAAGGAACTTTTGAAGTCCCTCGACGTCGACTGGCACAGGCCAGTCGCTAATTGCCTTAATCTTTTCTGAATCAAGTAGTACACCGTTTTACCCACGATGAAGCCAAGAAGTGGTATCTCGTCCGCTGCGAATATACACTTCTTGAGGTTCGCGAACAACTTATGCTCTCGCATTAGTGTAAGAACTTTCCGGAAGTGGATTCTATGAACCTCCACGTCCGTCTTTCCATCCATAACCCGGCTATGGACGAAGCCATCGTCGAAGTGACTCGGTGCGAAATCGCGCAACGATCGCAACAGATTCGTAACACATCTGTTAAATGTTGCGGCGGAGTTACTTAGCCCCTCTGGAATCACTAGCCACTCCCGTAGCATACCACTGGAAGTGCTCACTGCTTTGTATGGGATGTCCCGTTCTCGCATAAGGATTTGATAGAAGCCATCCATTAAATCCATGGACGAAAAGATGGTACTTTTTGCCATACCATCAATGATTACGTCCTTCCTCGGTATCAGAGTTTGAGCCGGTACCGTTGCAGCGTTCAGTTTGTTGAACGCGTGCACTATCCGCCACCCTCCTGTGTCTTTCGCACACAAAAAGTCGGAGAGCTGTGTGGGGATGTTGATTCCCAGACATGACCAGCCGCTAAACGATCGGCAAAGAACTTGTCGATCGCTGTTACCTGTTCACGAGGCAGTGGCCACTGCTTCATGACACAGTATTTTGAACCAGGTTTCAGTTCGATCTCATGCCGAGTGCCTTTGTCTTTGGGCAGCTCGCATGGCACGGATTCCGGGAAAACATCCCTGAATTCAACCAAATCCTTATACAAAAGTATTTGTCTTTAGAGACTCCCAAGATTGAGACGTATAACGCTCAATCCGTGTCTTCTCATCGAGGACACTAGCGTCCATAGATGAACTACTGAGAACCCAGTCGTTCTCAGCAAACACTTGTGCCGACCGAATATCGGCGACGTACTCGTCCTCTGTGACTAGTACGCAGATCTGCTTGATCTTGTCACTACGCAGATCTCGCGATAATCTTTCAGATTCTAGCGATGGCAACTTGACTACCTCCGAAGCTGACTTCGGAGGTGTAACCAGATCAAGTGTATAAGCGCCAACATTTGATCCGTCATTCACCGAGACATTAACTGACTCGGTGATTTCCTGGGAAAACGCTGGTGGTTGGGGATCCGCACCCTCAACATAACTCTCTCGGGAGTTATCACTCTCAGGAACGCTGGAAATTTTCTCCATTACGTGTGTTAACTGTGGGTGTGCTACCATAGTCACGTCCTCTTCGATCGGCTCTCTTTCAGTCGATCTTGATTATTTTTCGATCGACTCTCTGTTAGTCGATATCGCTTCAACGTGTTGCTCATCCTGAACAGCACTAACCTCTCTTCCTTGATGCATCCTTCTTGGTATGCATCCATGTTCCACTCCATTCAACCTTTTTTAGTGGTGAACTATCGGCGCAGCCTGTGCATCTATACGGGCGTCGGAAGCTCGTTCCACATTTTGGTGGTCTTCTAAAATATAATCTTGTGCAGTATTACTAGCGGCGGTGCCATACGTGTACATCGAACTCACTCGTAGTACATCCACACGCTTGTGGACGCTTCAAGACGTTCATCAGATGGCCATCCGATGAACAAACGGCAGGCATTTTCACGGATCGATGTTTCCAGCTAACCCATGGCTGGTATTTTTAAGCCATTTCAGACCAAGGATGACATCAAATTTGTCGTCCAAATCCAGTTTGATGAAGTCATCATCGTACTGCTTTCCTTCTAGTGTGTAGTGGATTCCCACTACACGTTTGCTCACTGTTACGGATGCGCCCGTAGCAAGGCACACCGTTATCCTCGTTGGAGGGCACTCTAGCTCAATATAGTTGAGTCTACTATCCTCTAACGACTGGCGTCAAATAAAACCGTTCGACGCCCCACTGTCAACTAGGGCGCGAAGTGACAATCCACTTGTCACTTCGATCTTCAAAGTGATGGGGGACATCTCATCATTAGGGGCAGTAAAGCACAGCGACTGTGTGTTGTGAGCAATCTTCGTCAAGAGTCCTGCATATTCTCTTGACGTTGCTAAATCAGCAGGGTGCTCCGCCCTACTGACCCTGACTGTTTTTGGCGGTCCGACTTGCTGTCGCGGCTTAGCGACATGGTCGAACCCACGCCTTGGACTTTTCCTTGGCCTACGGCGGTCATCACGTCCTGGATTTGGACATGATGTGGTGCTTGGGACACTACACTCATGACCGTAGTGTCCGATATTCTGACAGCGATGGCATCTTGCCGTTCGCTTGTGACTCAGAGAACGAGAGTTCTCGCTCTCGATATAAAAGAGGTCCACTGGTTTGGGACCTCCTGTTTTCTTTCGTATCTTCGGACGATAGTTTGCAGAGTTAGCCTGAGATTGTCTCAGGCTGACGTCTTGTTGTTCCGCATACGCTATCGCTTTTCCAGCGTATGGAAGTTCTCTCGGAATATGTAGGTCATGATCGGCCCATCTGAAAGGCCGTAGATGAACACGTTAATGAGCGTATGCTCATCAGCAGATTTCTCCGTAAGGCTACTCGCAAAGTAGCGTAGGTGTTGTGCATAAGCGTGCACATCCCGCTTGTCTTGCTTTAGCCTCAAGAGTGCAGAGCGTGATCTGATCTCGGATCTTGGCGGATCAAACATCTCTTTGAGCCAAGACTCAAGATCTTCAGCGAATCAAACACGTTTGAGTCTATATGCTTGAGCCCTAAAGCCCAAGTACTTGCTCGTCCTGTCGAATTAAAAAGGGCGATGGCGACTTGTATCTCGTCACCCTCGATGTGACGGGCCCTGATGGCGTCGTCTAACTCGACGCACCATCTCAAAAGGGAATCTTCATCGGTTCCCTTGTATTTTGAGATATCTATCTTCAAGGTTATGAGACGACGCGTGTGCGTCGGCCCGCCCATCGACTGATGAAGAGCCTTGATGTTGTAGCAAGACTATCTTCTGTCTTTCGAAGGCAAGTTCCCCTTGTAAGAACTTGTTGATAGCTGCATGTTGCTGTGCTCTGCTTACAGATCTCAACATACCACTGATGGCGGGTTCGCCCATGAGCAAACTCATGCGGCCGACTATCTCCCATTCCGAGTCACTCAGATGGGAGTAGCATTCACGTGTGACGTGGAAGCTGTCGTCTTCTGCGTCAAACAGATTCATGTTGGACGGACACTAAGTAGTCGTTGGACGGACTACAAAGTGCTACCAGGTGTAACGGGGCATCCTTTGTTTGGGGTGCCACGAAACACCTGGTTGCACTTTGTAGTCACTTCACGTACACTAGTACGTGCAGAGGGAGGAAGCTTAATTACTCAAACGACTCGTAAAAGTAAAAGGTAAAAAGATAACTGTATTTAATATAGTTAACCTATCAGCATAACTTTAATCTTTGTCTAACTACATAAAACTACGTCGTCGTATGACGACAACCTGGTCACTATCATTGCACGCATCTAGCAGCGATTGGTGGCAATCTATGGTTGATGTGTCGTTTATCAACCAATCTTTGAGCAGCGCATGACCAATATCCTTCAAAGGGAATAATGTTCCTTCAATACTATCCATCTCGAATAATATTGGTAAGGATATTTTCACGCTATACAATCTCCCTATTGACACAGTTTAGTGTCACAATCATGTCACAGTCTACTCCGTTACACCTTCTATTGAAAAGTCATCGCCCCCGGCCTAATATCAATTTCCCTCATGCCTATTCTCATTCTTCGTGCTGTGCCGTATACTAATATGCCTAACAACTACGCTCTCGTCTACCTTCCAATCAGTATGTATAGAGTAGTTTTGGCGTGTTTGCTCCAAGCGTGCTATCACGTACTGCAGCGTTAGGAATGACAATCTTGTCAAACGGGGCTGAGCCTGCTACATTTTTTTTGACACTCGATACGTCTTATTATGAATATTGTCATCAAAGTTGTTAATGGTCACGAACGCTACCTTGTTACTAAACTTGTAGGGGCAATTACTGATTGGCTGATATGGAACGTCATATCAGTCAGTCGTAGTGGTCCAATCAGTGATGGACGCGCGCAAAGAGTAGTGAGAAAGAGTTCGGCATACCTTTAAAGAAACAAAAATTTAAGTTAGGACTATACTACTGGAGAATGAGTAGGACTTAACTATAACTAATGCAGTTTTGCTTTCTACTTCCATCATCCGTTTTTCAATAGCTAGCCTTTATCGGCATGTACAGTGCACATGAAGTGACGCAAGGCACTACTTACACTATAACAGTGTTAGTTAACTTGTACTGTGTCGGTACAAGTCACCAGTGCACCGTTACATCTTGCACATCCCGTATACTTTGTTCTCACTGCATGAGTGCCACTTCGTTGCCTCAACAATATCAGTTTAAAAGTTTGAATTCTCAATTGGCCTTCTAGTACATCTCCGAGAACTCGATACAATGAGCTTTCATCCTTGCTGATGATTAATACCAGTGGTTCCAATGAGGTGCATGCTAGCGCGGCGACAAGTTTTGTTGCGGGTACCGTTGCTTGTCCAACGGCCCAGGTCAGCCGGTGAAACCCCTCTTTTTCTTTTTACGTTGGAAGACGTGGCACCAGGCTACCCCGATTCGAATTCTGGGGGTGTGTAGGCGAGTCAGCTTCCCTTGAGCGGCGATGGTCGTCTAAGGCCTCAGCTCGCTCTGTTTTATCTCCACCTATGGGTTATGCCGCTCTAATTCGCGATGGTGCCGGCTCGAATGGGAAAGGAAAACCAGACTCTACGGGGTCTAACGGCATCGCTAAGCCGTCCAATCGTGACTTATTGTCAAAAATGAAGCTATACAATGACAAAGACACTATTTGCGCTAGCTCCGCACCTTGAGTCCGGGAGTAGCGAAAATGTTTCCATGCTCAGTGGAATTGAAAGTGGAGGCACTGTTTTTAATTGAGAAAACTTAAACGTTAAATTCTTCCCGAATCAGTGACCATGGTAATGCTAAGGCCGAAGAGAAGCGTAGCAGCATCCAGATCATTGTGCTTGAGAGCACCTCAAACGATGCAATTTGTCCGAGACCAAGTCACTGGAAGTCAACCGGTCTTTGGTAGGGTCGCAGGTGAGTCTCCTTGGCCATCAGGATACCTTTATTGCTACTAGCTCCTTGACACTTGCCACTACGTCGACGTTTTGGTGGTTTTGGGTCATTTGCGCTGAAGATTTTATATTACCGCCTTTGATATCGAGGTGCCTAACCCCTTAATTTTTCTCGGATGTGGGTTGGCCAAGGTACCGCGCCCTTGGGTGGATGTCCAGGTCCGAATCTACAATCTAACCGATTTGCGGCCTCTTTGTATAGAGGCTGAAGGTGTGGTGGTGGACAAATTTAAGTATTTTGTGTCGGTATATCTAGTTCGCCATCGTGATACCCCGAGTATTAAACCTCAGGCGTCCTATCATCACTGATCCCGATTCTCCCTGGACTTACCCTCTTGGCTTCTACGGCTGCAATATCAAACGATCGGTGTGTTGGAAAGACTATTGGTACAGTGGCTGGTCGTGGACCTTTTAATACTTCAACTGCTGAAATGATGGCTGAAATTGGAGGCGACCCCCAAGACAGACCCTTGTCACTGTCTTGACAAGGGCCAGTTGTAGCACCGTCTCTAGTGTCGATGTTCTAAATATCGTCCGTCACGAAGGCTACCGGACCAGCTACTACCGCACCTTCTCACCCGGCGCAATTTTTTAACGAAAATGTACACGTCACCATGCTAGTGCCGGTGAGGATACTGTACGATCGTGGTTCACGCCGAGCCATTACAATTTTCTTGTCACCCCCGGTGCACATATTCTTGTATGTGAATTGACCGTTGACGACAATGTCTCTGTCAGTCTGCTCTGAATTGTTCCGATACGTGTTTATGCCGCCATGTTACTAAGCATGTGCTGCAGCGAAGCAACATTCGTTCAAGCGTACAAGCTTAACAATTCAGGTTCCTAAAGAATTTCGATTCACAGAATCACACACTAACCAGTCACTACTAGTTAAACAATAGTAAGCGCCTTCACTAGGCTGACACTATTTCAACTCACTATGCATTGACTAGGCACTTGTGTCCAACGATTTAAAAGGGGAACTGGACTTTGTTTATGCTTTAACTACAGTAATAAAACCCTAAAACCATGCCTGGCTGAATTCTACATTGCGATCACATAACATAAGTCATATCCTTCATCGTTACCCGATAAGGTGCGGTATTACCGTAAGACGTGGTACCAAGACTGTACCACTCCGATCCAACGATCTTGACTGGGTGTGGACACACTACATAGCCGGTTCAAATACCGCGTGTAACCCCGTTACAACATCCCCACCAAACTGTCGATACCCTCGCGTCGACGGTTCTTCTACTGCTCTTTGAGGTGTTAAAGCTCTGGCCCTTTACCATCGTGTTCACAACACATCCAAAATGACTGAGTCAAAGTCTTCGTCCAACACTGCAGAAAAATTCTCGAAGAGGGTATGGTGGACTTCGAGAGTGACACCGCCGCATCGAGTATCTACGACCATCCTCCATCTACGCCACCGGCACGTGACACTGCGCGCATCGCGCCGAATCCATTCGTGGAACGCAATGAGATGCCTTCACCCCTTTCACCGCGTGCATTAGTTGAGCTGCGCCGAGTGTGTTGCGCAACAATCTCGATAAAGATCAAGCTTGATATCTTCAGCCGGTCGATGACCGCAGGCGTCAAGCACAATTTGTAGCCACAGCGTGTGCTCATAGTGGATACCGCTTCACTCCACCGAGTGTCGATTAACGCGTTCGTCGGACAGCCAGACAGTCACTCGCAACATGGGTAACCTGACTCAAGGCTGCCATATCCACAGAACAAGCGTAAAGGGAAGCTATCGGAGGGAGATATCTAAGGGTCGAGTATGTGACTGACAAGACTGCCTGGACCGGCTAAATCTTAGAGCACAGGGTGCGTCAGTGTCCACCATGAGGACAGTTCCTGTCATTCTCTTCCCTGTAGAGACGGAGGCGGAAAATGATACCGTCTCCACGCGCTGGGCTCACAGAGCTCTCCGTCTGTCAATCCAGCGGAATCTCTAAGAGATTGCTTCACTTGCCGACGTTCGGCTGGAACGAAAGATGCGTTTTGATCTCTCAAAACAAAATACAAAAGGCTAACAATGATCGTTTGATTGCACCCGCTATGCTGAGGAAAGTTGCGGACCCGCGCATCAGCGCGCCTGATTCAGCTGCAACCCCTTCCATTCCCACACCGACTAGTTGGAAGCGGGATGGGTCGACCGACCCTAAAGACGACGTTCAAAAACGTCAAAGGCATACGGAAATTCCTGCTGCTGTGACACTTCGCACTTCCATGAGTTCTGCGGCCCCGGGTACCCTCGCCACAATACCAAGTACTGGAACTGACCGTCGCGACGACGTCTCTGCAGGATTCGTTCAACTTGGTACTGTTGATGCCCGTGATCGTCAACGAGAGCAGGCGGTGGTCTGTGAATCTCGACACGTCGTCGAAGAGTTTGATCACGAGATGCATGGTCTGCGTGACCGCGTGGCGCGTCCTGAAGGACAACTGGATCTTCTCTTGAGGGTTCCTCGACTTGTGGCGTCGCCAACTCTTTCGATGCAAGCGCCTCGTGATCCACCAGCGACAAATCAAGATAAAGCTTCAGCAAGACGACGTAAACACTGGGTGTGTTTGCCTCTTGCGTGGAAGGTTAAGCGTATACGCTATGCCCTTCTTGAACACAACTGTAAACGGATGAATGAAGCGAGGACGCAACTTGGCCCTATAGACCGCTGACACCACCTTGAAAGGTAAATTCTTAGCGTTAAGTAAGACTATGTCTCCAACCTCATATCTCTCAAAACAATCTCTGCCTTGGCATCAGCTTGTTCTTTCTTTTTGTCCTCGCTATCAGCCAATGCGTTACGAACGTGTCGTAAGACATTCAATCGCGTAGCGAGAAACTCGCTCATCTTGTTTCTGAACAATAGTTGGGCTGACATCAGCAAGCTGATGGGCTATCCCCCCCCCCAACAAGCCCAGACCACGTATTGGAAGCGTTAACGGAACGCTTGGGTGAGTGAGACCATCCACGTTAAATGGAATAAAGCCACTAGGGGCATGAACAGCATTGTTTTACACAAACTCGACCACAGGGAGCATAGAGCTCCAACTCCTAGGCTTATCAGCACAAACATTGTACAAAATGTCACCAATGACACACTGTTGACACGTTCAGTTTGGCCATCGGTCCGCGGACAATTCTCTGTGGAAATGTTTGACCCGGTGCCCAGCACCTGGAATATGGAAGTCCAAAACTTGCCAGTGAAATGTGGATCACGATTCGAGACAATTGCCACAGGCTAACCGTGTTGACGAAACACACGGTCGATAAACAGCTTTGATGTACCTTGGCCATCGATGGAATCAGGCACGGCCGCTATCTGAGTCATCTTGCTCAAACGGTCAACAGAGACCACAAACCAGTGTTGCCGTCTGAATCCTTCGGTAGGCTAAACACAAAGTCCACACGGATGGACCTTTAACACCCAGTGTATACGTGCAGTTTGTCTAGCGGCGCAGCCGCATGTGCTGGTAGGTTGACCCGTTGACAAGTTCACATGTACGCACATATTTTCCCACCCATTTGTACAGTTTGGGCCACCAATAAGCCTGGCTCACTGAATCATAGGTCTTCCCACGGCCGAGATGAACACTTAAATATGTTCACGTGCCTCAAAGATGATGCGATTCTTCAAGTTCTCATTATGAGGAACAACGATGCGAGGCACATTGCCAACACCTGTGTGATAGTACAACAACTCACCATCGATGACACATTGATGAAGTCCCGTTCGTAAACATGCCGACAATTTGGTGTCCGAGTCTTTAAACTTCTCTCTTTCGAGAGCATGTAGCAATGATACACATTGCTCACCACGTGCATATGCCGCACGAATTTATTCCACAATGGATGAAGACAGTGTCCCAACATGAGCAAGCTCATAATCTGGTCTACGTGAAGACGCATCACCCAAATTTATTTGCTTGCCCGGAGGATGACACATCGATTAAACCTCGCCCGTAAACACGCCGACAATTTGATGTCCGAGTCTTTAAACTTCTCTCTTTTAAGAGCATGTAGCAATGATACACATTGCTCACCACGTGCATATACCGCACGAATTTATTCCACAATGGATGAAAACAGTGTCGTAACATGAGCAAACTCATAATCAGGTCTACGTGAAGACGCATCAGCAAAGGATTTGGATTGTCCGGGTTATACTTCACCTCAAAAATGTATTCATCAAAGAATGAAATCCAACGATCCATTTGCTGTGAAAGGTGAGGCGACTGTGTCGGAGTGTGTAATGACGCATGATACGTGAAGATCACAAATGGATTCGAGCCAAGTAGATGGACCCTAATCTTAACAAGAGCATATTTCATTGCAAGTAACTCCTTGTCGTGAACTGGATAGTTTTTCTCTGCAGCTTTTAGCTGATGAGACTCATAAGTAATGACGCGTTTACGTACATCGACATCTGTCTGCAACAATGCACAACCAATTGTAAAATCGGACGCGCCACAGACGACAATGAAAGTCCACTTAGGGTCAGTCAAAGCCAAACTTGGAGCATGAAGGAGACTGTCCTTTACAGCTTCAAAAGCTTGAGCATGGACTGCGTCCAACCACAAACTACATCCTTCTTGAGGAGTTTAGTTAATGGCCTTGCCACGTCAGCATACTTTGCACTGTACTTGTGCAAGTAATTAGCAAAGCCGATCGATTTACGCAAGGCATTTTGGTTTGACGGAACCGGTCACTCGAAAATTGAGATTTTCTTAGCGGGATCCGCTCGAAGGCCACGCTTTTCAATGAAGCACCCGAGAAAAAAGGATTTTCCTCAGCATCAAAAATGCATTTCGATGCATTCGCATACATCTTGGTCGTGCGCATGCAACCGATCACTGCTCGTAAATGTTAAATGTGATTGGCCACATCTGATCTGCCATGGTCTGCACGGCTATGGACAACGATTCACCATATTAGCTTTGTGCATATCTTCGGTCAATTCGGAACGATTGCGTCACAAGGCGATATATGTGGCCGGGGCATTAGGCATCCCTTGAGGCATGACAAGCCACTCCTAAAGCATACCGCTTGGGGTACTAACCGCTGTAAGCGGAATATCACTCGCTTGCATGAGCAATCGATAATATTCATCGACCAAATCGAGTGCACTCGACATGGTACAACCTACAATAGCGTTTTTAAGAACATCATTCCTAGAAATAAGCGTCTGTGCCGGTATAGTTGCTGCATTAAGCTATGGTAAGCGTGCACAATACGTTAATTTCCATTTGGCTTCCTGACACCAAATTTCGGTGTCGAGTGCGGATACTTGATCTCACGCATCATACCGGCCGCGTGCTTGCACGAAAGAACTCGTCAATGAAGTCACACTGCTCCTTTAATAGATGCCATTGCCGTGTCACACATTATTTGGTTATAGGATCCAGGTCAAATTCATTACGTACGCCGCGATTAGGAGGCAGAGTGGAAGGTGGATCGTGACACACCACATCCTGAAACTCCTAAATCAAAGAAAATGATTCTTTAGGATATTACAAGATCGATGACCCACTTCAAACACTCAGCAACGCCGTTTTGTCTTCCAAGACAGCTTCACCAAGCAGTGACGACGAGTTCAACACCCAATATTAGATGCAATGCCAACCACTTCAGATATTTCACCCGATTTTAAGGTCAGGCCAGACTCGTTGACAGACATTTTGTCTAGCTCTAACGGTAGAGTCCCAAGACTCACTTACCCATTTACGTGTGCAGCCAAGTCACTCCATTGACGAGTGTATATACGTGTTCGCTAGTAATACTCGGTGACGTAACAGACGCCTTGCGTTGGATAACGGTAATGCGGCGTCGATGTTGTCTCTGTGACGAGACCGAACATCTCAAAGAGACTGTAACTTTCTCGTTACCAAGGTTTATATCATCACCATCTTTCACTTGCTCTGTACAACAGCAGGCGTCATAACCGACGCCCAAAACGTCAACCGTCCCAAGGCTAACATTACCATCAACCTTAAGTTGCTCATGACCCGATCCGATGTCATTACCGACATCCGGGACTGTACTGCTTCCAAGGTGACGGACTGCGTCAACATAATTTGCCCAACATCACGGCCGATTTCATTACCGACATCTGGGACGACACTGTCCCCAAGATGACGAGCTGCGTCAATCTTAATTTGATCGATTTCCGATCCGATGTCAATACCGACATCTGGTGATGAGTCTCTTCCAAAGATATCACCACCCAGTGAGTACTTAGGTGCCACTCCACGTTCATCAACGGGGCCTCGACCTTTATGACTTGGTGTTCACCCACCATAACTTGACTACTTCCAGTGTGTGCCAATTACGGATTTCATCACTCAGTGTGTACTGAAGTGCCACTACACGCTAATCACATGTGTTTAACCTATGATGAATTGGCTCTAGGGCAACAATGCGTCTAGTGATTAGTTGTCACAACAATTATTACTCGACGGAGTACGTACCGTCTCACTAGCAGTCAACGAGCTTGGCTCGCAACTAACGTTTTTTGACATCGTCCAACTCAACAGGTTCAGCCATGCCGATGTCCAGCACACTAACTGTCTCAGTCCGTGGCTCGCACCAAAAGCGCTTCGGTTCCCCAGTAGAGGTGGACTCATGACTCTCTCAATCTCCAAAGGAATAGTGCGCATTGCACCTAAGGTCTTCTACCTCCAATCAATCCATGGCTCATGTCGTTCTAGCCAGGGCATCCCAAGAATGAGATCATACCTCTCGTCCAAGTTAAGTACTAGACAGCATTCGATACTGTCAAAGTCCAAAAACGTAACGCCTAAGTTCACAGGAGATTTAGGCACAGCGACGTATGCACCTGTTGCCAAGCGAACAGCTATGGTCTCGTTCTCTCGCGTTTTCAGCGCCTCAGCATACAGCTGACTCCATTCCAGAAAACAGCGTTGGATAGAATTTCGGAAGCGCTGGATCCGATCAAATTCAACCATTGATTATCAGAGCCCTTCACCGTTGCTTTTGCAACTGACAATCCTGTCTTGTACTCATGCTTCGTGACATTGTTCACGAAGCCACTCGGGGCTAGGCATTGTTCTCCATCACCTCCCAGAGATACAATAGAGCATAAATTCTCCCCAGCAGGGCATCCCGCGCCTACTGGTCCTCGATGTTCTCCCGCGCCTTACCAACTCGTTAGTTAAGACGGATGGTCGGCTCGAATGAACATGTCTGGTCTTTCTCAAAGTTTAATCGGGGCGAAGATATTTGATGCTCCCGCACGTTAAACTTACGGATGTTCGAACGCTGTTCGACAGCGTAAAGCTCAGCTTCTTCGTCTCTCTCAGCAAGATAAAGGGCCAGGGGTTCTGCCCGACCCATGGGATGAGTATTTCTTGACGAGTTTGGTGGGAATTAATGGGTCCCATAACGGTCATCTTTAAAGGTGAATTCTGCATTCAACGCTATGTCCACTGCAACCTCGAGTGCCAAGGGTTGTGTACGAAACACTTCTATTCTGGCAACACTAGTGCTAGGACCCTCCATAAAAATGGTTAATAAATCAGTCTCAGGTAAAGATTAAAGCTGCATAGCAACAATGAGAGTTCGCAACTCCTGGACATAATCGACAAAGTCCTTTTACCCTGGCGGGCGACAGGGAGCGTGATCGCACGCGATATGACTGACTAGGCGAGGGAAATAATCACGATAGTTGCTGTTTAAGCGTGTTCGAGGTGGGGATGTCCTCGTCTATCGAGGTGTTAGAAGTAAAGGTCCACTACCTGGATCGCCTACCTAACTTCGAAAGGGCCAGTCCAACCTTTTGCTGCTCTGTCCGCAGCAGGGCCGAGCTGATGGCACCCTTCATTTTTCGAACCCACAAAAGCAGATTTTCTTCCTCTTTCCCCTCAAAGGTCTTTACATTTAAGACCAGAGCACGAGTCTTCGACTCAGTGTGTAACGGGGCGAACCGTTTCATAATAATTTATAAGAAGTTGTTAATAGAATATAACTAAAAGAGTTATATTCTCAGAATATTGTCATAAGGACAAATATTCTGTAGCACTTACGAGTAGTTCCTAATTGGTTGATATAGGCCATTATATCAACCAAAGAAGACGCGCCACGACAGACGCACGCAATGAGTGGTGAGCAGATCACTGATTTACACATTTGTATTTAGACATAGTTAGATGAGGATAAATAGTGGTTTATTGCAGACATTAACTATGATAAATACAGTTCTACTTTTTACTTTAACCAAGTACTCGCTTCTTCTTACCGTCTTCCTCTGCACGTACGAGTGTACGTGAAGTTACGAGGCACCGCCTTATTCTGTCATCAGAATAAGTAGCTTGTACTGTCACCAGTACAAGCTTCAGAGTGCCCCGTTACACCTGGTAGCACTTCGTAGTCCGTCCAAGGACCGCGTTCACATCCAACATGAATATGTTGGATGATGAAGATGACCAAAGCTTTCACGCTACGCGTGACGGCTACTCCCATTTGAGCGATGTCGAATGGGATGCGGTTGAACGAATGGGTTCGACCATGGGCATCCATGCTGTTATCGTCATGCTAGAGGCTCTCAATAGAGATGCCCAACATGCTACTATCGCCAAGTTCATTCAAAATGAACTTGACGCTGAACGCGAGAAAGTAGCCTTGCTTCACCAACAAGGTTCTCAACAAGCAGAGTTGTTGAGAGAACAAGGTGCTCAACAGTTTGAACTGTTGAGACAGCAGCAGGCTGCTGCTGGCGGGTCGATGCACTCGCGTCGACCCGAGACTTTGAAGATTGACATCTCCAAGTATAGGGGAGTCGAAGAAGACTCCCTCTTGAGATGATTGGTCGAATTGGATGACGCCATAAGGGCGCGTCGCATCGACGACGGGGATATGCAAGTTGCATTTGCCCGGTCAAATCCGGCAGGACGTGCCAAGACTTGGGCACTGGGGCTCAAGTTGCACGACACATATGCGTTTGGGTCGTTGGAAGTCTTCAAGTCGCGGCTCAGACAAACGTTTGAACCGCCTAGAGATGAGTTCAGAGCTCGAACCGAACTCTTGAAGCTCAAACAGGGTAAGCGTGATGTGCACGCTTACGCCCAACATATACGACATCTTACGAGTTGTATAAGTTCCAATCCGGTGGATGAACACACGTTGGTTTCGGTGTTCATGCAGGGCCTTGCGGATGGTCCCGTCGAGACTCACCTGTTCCGACTTGAACTAGATTCACTAGAACAAGCCATTTCCATTGCGGAACAGGAAGACTTCAGTCTGAGACAGGCTCGCGCCAGCTCGACATCATATCGTCAACCGAGACGATATGACAGCGGAGGTCCAGAGCCGATGGAACTCTGTTCTGTAGAGAGCGAGAAGGCTCGCTCTACAGACTACAAGAAGGTGCAGAAATGCAACAGACGTCAAAAGGCAGGACACTACGCTTACGAGTGTAGTGCCCCTTGCCCATTGTCTCGCAACACTGGGCGTAGTGACCGTCCACCCATGAGAAAGGGGCAGGGACGCGGGTCCGCTGTTGGTGCAAAGACGCAACAACGGGATGGACCGTCAAAAAAACGGACAGGATCAGTAGGTGCGGAGCACCCAACTGGTCCAGCAACGTCAAGAGTACTTGTTGGCCTCTTGATGAAGGTTGCTCCCAACACACAAACATTGTGCGTTGCTGCTCTAGATAATGAGATCTCACTCATTACCTTGAAACTCGAAGTGACAAACACGGTTGGACTCCAAGAACGCATAGCGTTGATGGTCCATCAAATCACGATATGTGGCCACCAAGTCTTACAGATAGCTAATCGAAGGAAAGGACAAAAGCACGATTGGCCTGTCCAGGAAGCTTCTTGGTTTTAGAATGTACAGCGTGGTGAGTTGAGCCGAGGTCACCAGTCGCGGACACTATTAGATTTCAATTTGCGGACGTGGGTAGTATCCCGGGATGGTAAACAATTCGCACTTAGGCTAGGAGAAGTGATGGAACAATAGGTCCAAATTAGGTCACTCACGGTGACCAAACTCAAGCGATGGGAATACCACCGAAAAAACTGTCCAAGAGCATAAGTTCCGTGAGCACGATACCCAGTTATCCACCCCTCACGTGAAGACATCACGGGACGACAGGGCCTGGAGAGTGGTCGGAGAGAGGAGCTAATTTACAAGGGCAAGACCACCGCTTGGTACACCTATATACCCATCGGAGTCGTCAGAAGCCTCTTGCAGCTCTTCTGCATGGGATGTCACAGCAATTGACGTTGAAGGGCAGGTATCCGATGAAGCGCGGGTAGCAGGTACCGATGGAGTCGAACGAGTCGCGGGTTCGATCTCGTTAAGGACATACGCCAAACCATCTGTAGGTCGCGCGATTGAGGCAGATGATCGCCAGAAACAAATAATTGTGACCGGGACATCTCGGCAAGTAGGACCTCGTCAACTGAAACAGCGAAGCAGATATTTTTTTAGCTCGGTAGACGAGATGACGCCAGGGTCATCATCGACGGTGATGTGTTCGCGAACTTGAAAATGGATGGTCACCGAATCGTGGAGGACGGATTCTCGTGAAAGTCGAGGTGGGGACAAAACGAATTTAAAGGTAGCCTAAGCTGACCATTATTGAGTATCTTGGTCGGCAGGCTTTACAATAGCAGATGGAGCACTGAGAGAAAAAATTGGGGACGCTGCGACGTGTGTAACGGGGCACCCTGAAGCTTGTACTGGTGACAGTACAAGCTACTTATTCTGATGACAGAATAAGGCGGTGCCTCGTAACTTCACGTACACTCGTACGTGCAGAGTAAGACGGTAAGAAGAAGCGAGTACTTAGTTTAAGTAAAAAGTAGAACTGTATTTATCACAGTTAATGTCTGTTAATAAATCACTATTTATTCTCATCTAACTATGTCTGAATACAAATGTGCATATCAACTATCTGCTCACCACTCATTGCGTGCGTCTGTCGTGGCGCGTCTTCGTTGGTTATATAATGGCATATATCAACCAATTAGGAACTACTCGTAAGTGCTGTAGAATATTTGTCCTTATGACAATATTCTGAGAATATAACTCTTATAGTAATATTCTATTAACAATTTCTTATAAATTGTTATGTAACGATTTACCCCGTTACATCACCCCCCCCCTTAACCATCAGTCACTTTAGTGACTGATTGACTAAAGGGATACTCGTCCCAAATCATTCGGGACAGGGTTTGCACTTGTTGGTCCGAGTCCACTTCCCAACATTTCATCGCATGGTTAACAAGCCCATGCGATGCGCGAGCAAGGCCGCCGAGAGCGCGTCCGCACGTCTCTGTGCGGACGCCGAAGCAGAAACTACAGCAACTGATGTCTCATCGGTTGCTGAAGCGACCCAGCCTGTATCACCTGGTGATGCAGACGGTCGTTATTGAGACACTCATGTCTTCACAGAGTACGAGCTCGGTGTCTCATACTCTCCTGATACGGAAGACGGATCCGTATCGACGGCGATTGAATCCAAGCCGCCTGCCAAGCGTGGCATGGACGATGCTTTGCGTCGCAGCATCTTTGGTTCATCTGATGAATCAGATGAACCATCGCCGAAGCGAAGGCGCTCGAGGTCGCGAGACTCGGGCGCTAACAGTGGTGTAGGTTCTCCTATGGACACCACTTCGCAACGAGGTGCCAGTACTTCTGTCGGTACGTCGCAATAAAAGCGTGACCGCAGTGTGTTGCGTCTCGCTCCCGAGAAGAAGGCATGGATGCCTCCGAAATCAGTCATGGATCACTTGTCGGCGACGTCGAGTGATCGCTATCGAACACGATTGTTCGATTCGTCGAGGATTCATCACCTTGACCCCAGCGCGAAAGACTATCGCGCTGAACATGAATTCTTCATCGATGCTTTCTTTAGACATCGATGGTACAGCGGGAATCACAAACGTGATGGTCCCTCACTACTTCAGGCGTGGAACGCCTACATCCATAACCTCGAGGATGTAGGTCGTGACGCTTGGAACGACAAACTTATCAAAGCTCGTGATAAGTTTAATAAGAGAACCCCGACAGGTGCACGCTACAAGCTGCATCGTCTGTCAAGGGAGAAAGGATTACCCTGCCTCTCATGGGGAGACTCGTGCCCATGTTGTGTGAACAACTCTGCACGAGCACCTAAGGAGGCTTACCTCCTTACCAGCCCGTGGTGGCGCGTACGTGTCTCTACTGAGATGTACGAAGGGATCGACAACCTGAAATCCCTTTACGACCGTGCCGGGAAGACTTTCTCCGGCGGTCCTTCTGTGGCACAGGATGTGCCGCGTCGTACTGCTCAACCAGACCCAGTACGTCGATCATCAGTTGAGAGCGGGGCTCCCAAGTATCCCAGGACGGGGGATAGCCACGCCACCGGACGAGATAACTCGTCCGACGTCCGTTCACGTCGCGGTGGTTCAACAGCTGCTCAACTAGATAGCGCTGGCCACCGCGAGAGTCCTCTAATGGAGGTGGAGGAGGAGGAAAGACGCTCTCCACACGATCATGTGGATCGGTGTGTTCCCGAGAGCTTCTTTGATCGCGTAACGCAAGGGTTTCGCGGCGACCTCGAGCATGAGCGGAATAGGCGTCTCCAAATGGCGGACACTGCCTTGAAGCATCGAGCTCAGTTTGCCTTTGCTCAGCTCGAGAACGAGAGATCTCTGACATCTCTTCGTGACGAGCTAAGGGTAGCTCGTGGGATTGTTGATCGGTCTCGGGCTGAGATAGCTGCTCTTCAGACCCTTGTTGATGCCCACCATCGGGAGCACAAGGCTCTCTGCGAGATGCTTGAGCGCAAGGGCGTTCTTCATCGGAAGAAACAGCGTACTGATGGTACGGCTTAAGCCGACCAACGTAAAACGTGGGATGCGTTCGCATCTTACGTGGTAACTCGATCGTGTATGCATTGCCCAGGCGGTGCAATACACGAAATGGGCCAATGTACTTGGGTAGTAGTTTACTGCTACCCAAGTTAGTCACTACATGCTTTGGTAGATTAACCGTAGACAGTAGGACTAAGTCACCTTTATTAAATAAAAGAGTGTTTGCCCTTCCATTCTTGTCAGCGTTTTGCTTTTGCTTATCCACCGCTTCGGCGATGGAGTCTTGCACAAAACGGACTACCGTTTCACGAGCCAGTATGAACTCATCTGATGACTCGTTAGCTTCAGTGCGCTGTGAGTGCACTGCAGCAACATCAATCTGTTCTTCAGTGAGGGCTTCCTCGCTCTCACTGGCATCATCTTCTTCGATATCGATGTTGTCGATATCGGCATCAAACGCAATGACCTCTTCGTCAGAGCGTGATGAGCGTGAACCAAATCGGTTTTGCTCGCGCGAGTCCCCCCCCCTTAAATCAGAGTTACACTCGAGCAAGGTGGGTACACGCGGATGGCGCAAGCCATTCACGTAAAACGGTATATGTGTCGTGGACGCATGCACCGAGTTGTTGATGGCAAACTCTACCATCGGCAAAAACTCACTCCAACTCTTAAAGGAGTGTACGTATCCTCGAAGTATCTCTTCAAGGACACGATTGGCACGTTCCGTCTGACCATCTGACTCTGGATGATCAGATGTTGACATCTTCAAGCGCGTTCCGAGTGATTTGAACACGGAACGCCAGAAATCAGCAGTGAATCGTGGATCTCTGTCTGATACGAGTTCACGGGGAAACCCATGACGTCGGAAGATGGTGTACAAAGACACAAGCACAGCCACTTGCCGTGATTGAATCTGGTACAGCCACAAGGTGTACCATTTTGCTGAATCTGTCAACAAATACGAGAATACCCGTATTCCCGCGTGTGTCTTTGGGTAACCCGAAGACGAAATCCATTGAGATGGATTCCCAGCACTCAGCCGGAACCGGTAGAGGCTGTAAAGGTGCACGCAGTGAAGGACTTGACTTCACTCGTTGACAGACTTCGCATGCGCGAACATACTTTCACACAAACTGATACTGGCGGGGCCAGTAAAAGTCTCGATTCACCGTGAGATATGTTTTCTCCCGGCCACGATGTCCTCCTATAGGAGCATCGTGATACTTGAACATGATCCGCAAACGCAGATCAGTATCATCTGGAATGACAACACGTGGTGTGTCACCAGTAACGGCTGTATAATACAGTAATCCATTGCGAGTAGCGTATCGATCTGATGCAGATCGATACGCAGACGATGATCGTTTCAACGATTCTCGAGATGGCTGAGAGATGTGTCAAAACCTTCACAATCTCACCATCTTGGGCGTACGCCCGCCTCACATCATCATGCAAAGTTGAAGATGGGACTGAGGACGTCATAAGCGCAACAGCGACTGTCTCACTGTTGGGTTTCACGACTGGTTCAAAGTCGGGACGACGTGAGAGTGCATCAGCGACGACATTAAGTCGTCCTGGTTTGTACTCGACCGTAAAGTTGTATTCTGCAAAAAAAGACAACCACCGCGCCGTTCGTTGTGAAAGGTGCGGGCTGTTTACTGCCGTGCGTAACGACGCATGGTCAGTGTAAACAATGAAGGTTCTGTCTCCTAATAGATAGACTCTGAACTTCGCAAATGCATACTTCATGGCAAGGCGTTCCTTGACATGAACCGGATAGTTCCGCTCAGCTGGTTGCAGCTGACGCGACTGATAGCAGACGACGCGTTCAACGCCTTCAAGATCGTACTGCATTAATGCACAGCCGATTGCGAGATCGCTGGCATCACAGACCACATGAAATGGCCTGTCCTGATCGTCTATTGCTAGGACTGGGGATTGTATTAAGCTCTGCTTGATACCCTCAAAGGAGCGTTGACATTCAGCGTTCCATAACCACCTCTCGTTCTTTTTCAACAAACGAGAGAGGTGCACAGTCATCTCGGCGTAATTGCGTGAATACTTATGCAAATAAGCCGCTAGCCCAAGGAACTTTCGAAGACCTTTGACATCAACTGGCACAGGCCAGTCGGTGATCGCCTTGATCTTTTCCGGATCCTAGCGTACACCGTTTTTACCAACGATGCACCCAAGAAGTGGTATTTCGCTCGCTGCAAATATACACTTCTTGAGGTTGGCATACCATTGATGCTTTTGCATGATTGTAAGAACCTGTCGGACGTGGTACCTGTGAACCTCAACGTCCGACTTTCCATCCATAGCTCGACTATGGATGAATACGTCATCGAAATAACTCAGCGCGAATTCTCGTACTGGTCTCAACAGATGTGATACACATCTGTTGAACGTGGCAGGGGCATTACTGAGCCCTTGTGGCATTACTAGCCATTCCCAGAGCATGCCGCTAGGCGTGCTAACTGCGGTATAGGGTATATCCCGTTCCCGCATTAGGATTTGATAGAAGCCATCCATCAAATCCATGGACGAAAAGATGGTACTCTTTGACATACCATCAATGATTACGTCCTTCCTCGGTATCGGCGTCTGAGCCGGTACCGTTGCAGCGTTCAATTTGTTGAACGTGTGCACTATCCGCCACCCTCCTGTTGCTTTTCGCACACAGAAGGTCGGAGAGCTCTGTGGGGAAGTTGATTTCCTAACATGGCCCGCAGCTAAACGATCGGCAAAGAACTTGTCGATCGCAAGTACTTGTTCACGAGGCAGTGGCCACTGCTTCATGACACAGTACTCCGAGCCTGGTTTAAGCTCGACCTCGTGTCGAATACCTTTATCCTTCGGTAATTCGCACGGAACAGTTTCAGGGAATACATCCTTGAATTCAACCAAATCTTCATAGAGAGGATTTTTCTTGAGCGATTCCCATGATTGGGAGTCATATCGCTCAATTCGTGTCTTTTCATCTAGGACACTCTCGTCCATAGATGAACTACTGAGAACTCTCTCGTTCTCAGTAAACACTGTTGCTGACCTTAAGTCGGCTACACACTCGTCGTCAGCGACGAGTATGCAGATCTGCTTGACTTTGCCACTACGCAGATCACGCAAGAACCTTTTATGTTCGAGCGTTGGCAACTGAGTGATCTCCGAAGTTAACTTCGGAGGCGCAATCAGATCAAGTGTATAAGCGCCTACACTTGATCCGTTATTGACTAGGACATTCAATGTCTCTGTCATTTCCTGGGGACTTATTCCCTCAGGCTTCGAAGGACTTATTCCTTCGTCTTCCCGGGGACTTATTCCCGCGGGTTTCGGGGAACTTATTTCCGCCGTATTTGTAATCATGGGACTTATTCCCTTTACTTCCTCTAGCTGGGGTTGCGCAACCACAGCGAGATCCTCTACGAAAGACTCTTCAGTCGATCTAGGATTATCGTTTCGCTTAACCTGAGCGATCGATTGTTTCTCTTCTAGATGTTCCCCGCTGGGGATACATCTCTGTACCGGTCTACTCGACTTATTCGAGTGGTGAACTATCGGCGCAGCCTGTGCATCTGTACAGGTGCCGGAAGCTGGCTCCGAAGTGTAACCGTTTGGTACACTAAGGTTTTGTGCAGTCGCACTAACGACCGTACCACAAGTGAGGCCATCGCACTCACTCGTAGTACATCCACACGCTTGTGGACGCTCCAAAACGTTCATCGGATGTCCATCTGGTGAACAAGCGGCAGGCATCGTTACCGTTCCATGTTGCCAGCTAACCCGTGGTTCGTACCTTCTGAGCCACGGTATTCCAACGATGACATCAAATTTTTCATCCAAATCCAATACGATAAAGTCATCGTCATATTGGCTATTTTCTAGCTTATAGTGAATCTTCACTATACGCTTCATGACGGTTACGGATGCGCCTGTCGCAAGACGTACCGTCATCCTCATAGGAGGTGTGTCACATTCATCAAACTTAAAATGACCATCTTCTAGCGATTGGCGTTGCACAAAATTGTTGGACGCCCCACAATCGACTAGAGCTCGAAGGGACAACTTATTCGTCACTTCGAGTTTCAAGGTAATGAGTGAGACCTCATTACCTAGAGCAGCAACGCACAACGTTTGTGTGTTGGGAGCAACTTTCATCAAGAGGCCAACAAGTACTCTTGACGTTGCTGGACCAGTAGGGTGCTCCGCACCTACTGATCCTGTCCGTTTTTTGACGGTCCATCCCGTTGTTGCGTCTTTGCACCAACTGCGGACCCTCGTCCCTGCCCCTTTCTCATGGGTGGACGGTCACTACGCCCAGTGTCGCGAGACACTGGACGAGGGGCACTACACTCGTAAGCGTAGTGTCCTGTCTTTTGACATCTGTTGCATCTCTGCAACTTCTTGTAGTCTGTAGAGCGAGCCTTCTCGCTCTCTACAGAACAGAGTTCCATCGGCTCTGGACCTCCGCTGTCATATCGTCTCGGTTGACGATATGATGTCGAGCTGGCGCGAGCCTGTCTCAGACTGAAGTCTTCCTGTTCCGCAATGGAAACGGCTTGTTCTAGTGAATCTAGTTCAAGCCGGAACAGGTGAGTCTTGACGGGACCATCCGCAAGGCCCTGCATGAACACCGAAACCAACGTGTGTTCATCCACCGGATTGGAACTTATACAACTCGTGAGATGTCGTATATGTTGGGCGTAAGCGTGCACATCACGCTTACCCTGTTTGAGCTTCAAGAGTTCGGTTCGAGCCCTGAACTCAGCTCTAGGCGGTTCAAACGTTTGTCTGAGCCGCGACTTGAAGACTTCCAACGACCCAAACGCATATGTGTCGTGCAACTTGAGCCCCAGTGCCCAAGTCTTGGCACGTCCTGCCAGATTTGACTGGGCAAATGAAACTTGCATATCCCCGTCGTCGATGCGACCCGCCCTTATGGCGTCATCCAATTCGACCAATCATCTCAAGAGGGAGTCTTCTTCGACCCCCCTATACTTTGAGATGTCAATCTTCAAAGTCTCGGGTCGACGCGAGTGCATCGACCCGCCAGCAGCAGCCTGCTGCTGTCTCAACAGTTCAAACTGTTGAGCACCTTGTTCTCTCAACAACTCTGCTTGTTGAGAACCTTGTTGGTGAAGCAAGGCTACTTTCTCGCGTTCAGCGTCAAGTTCATTTTGAATGAACTTGGCGATAGTAGCATGTTGGGCATCTCTATTGAGAGCCTCTAGCATGACGATAACAGCATGGATGCCCATGGTCGAACCCATTCGTTCAACCGCATCCCATTCGACATCGCTCAAATGGGAGTAGCCGTCACGCGTAGCGTGAAAGCTTTGGTCATCTTCATCATCCAACATATTCATGTTGGATGTGAACGCGGTCCTTGGACGGACTACGAAGTGCTACCAGGTGTAACGGGGCACTCTGAAGCTTGTACTGGTGACAGTACAAGCTACTTATTCTGATGACAGAATAAGGCGGTGCCTCGTAACTTCACGTACACTCGTACTTGCAGAGGAAGACGGTAAGAAGAAGCGAGTACTTGGTTAAAGTAAAAAGTAGAACTGTATTTATAATAGTTAATGTCTGCAATAAACCACTATTTATCTTCATCTAACGATGTCTAAATACAAATGTGTAAATCAGTGATCTGCTCACCACTCATTGCGTGCGACTGTCGTGGCGCGTCTTCGTTGGTTGATATAATGGCCTATATCAACCAATTAGGAACTACTCGTAAGCGCTACAGAATATTTGTCCTTATGACAATATTCTGAGAATATAACTCTTATAGTTATATTCTATTAACAATTTCTTATAAATTGTTATGTAACGATTCACCCGTTACAACGTGCGGAAGAGTGGGGGAACCGAAGCTGATCGCTTTCTATTGGTGTGTCTAGCAGGCTCTACATCGGTAGATGGATGCTCAGAGGCCAAAAATGGGGAGGCTGTGAAGCGCGTGGGTCTGTTGGGGGCAAAACGGGATCGTCCAACGACTTCTTCCTAATCCTTTTGTGTTATGTTAGTCCCATGACGATGGTAGCCCGATGACGAAGTCCACCAGTTGGGCTAGCTGGGCTTGACAACCAAGAAAGAGGAGGTCCCGTTCGGCTTTCTGAAGTGCCAGTAATTTTGAATGAGCGGCATGGTAGAAGCGTATCCTATAAAGCTCCAGTTTCTTAAGGGCGAGTTCAGTCCTCAGGCGGTCAATATCATAAGCATGTTCTGCAACACTGGGTGCAAGCACGTCGTATACCGTTTGTAGCAAAGCTATACACCTCTCACCTTCATTCATAGCTCCTACGAATCGATACACTCTTAATCCAGTCAGTCGGTTTCCATATATCACTCAAGCTACGCCGCACGGGAGCGCTCGTATTTGCGTGGAATGGACGGCACGAACGGGGACGCTTTTAAGGGCCAACCCTAAAGCTCTTGCTCCAATTCGTCTCCACATCGCTTCTGGATATGCAGGGCTGTTTCGAAGGCTTGGTGTGATGTGACCACGTCCGCTTGGAGGGCGATCCGCCGATAAATGAAAGTGATCAGAGTTCCGACCGAGCTGTTGACTCGGATGGCGAAAGCCCTACTCGCGAGTAATGGAAAAAGTAATGAAGGTGGTTGGTCGATCACTACACGAACACGGTTGGTGGAGGGGAGAGAAGCCGGGTAGCTCAGGACGATGAAATCGGTGTCAACACATGCACTTAATTAATAGCCCGGCCAGCATTAGCGTTTGACTTATTGGCGATAGGTTCTAATGACCCAACGATGAGATCTTAAGGACCCTTATCGGTCACAGCAAGATGCGCATTCTCTTGACATCCAATACGTCAAAGTGGGGTGTACTAAGGTCAGTAGTATTGCTGGTAGACATAGTGGTGAGGTTGACCGGCTCCATGGTACGGTCGGCAACAGAAGTGTCTGCTGTAGCAGAGTCATGTGCTGGATTACCAGGTGTTTATCGCACATGAAGTGCTTAACTGAAAGCGGAAACGTAAGCAAACTTCGGTGCGACATTGACCGGGTGATCTCCCAAAACTTCTGCGGTTTCGCCGGGGTTGGACGCTTTATTTCCGGCTACTTCATCGCTGCGAGGTGACCCAAAGGCAACGGGGACGACTACTGACGAAGCGACGATGTAAACGAAGCCGGCCGGGGAATCGACATTATTGCCTTTGGTCCCGACCTCGTGGCGTGCTTGAGTGACGTCCAACGCGAAATTTAAAGGTGAGTCAAAGTCTGCAGGGACTTCAAAGGGCACAGCAGTGAAGCCGAATGGGTCGACAGGGTGGTCGACTGGTACATCTCCATTTATGACGGGTTGGGGTGCTTGCTCGCTGTCCATCACACCACTGAGATGCAAGCCCTGGTCCACGGATGCCGCAACTGTTGGAGACACTACGTCGGCCGAGTCGACGTGGCAATCAGATGTAGCAAATTCGAGTGCGGCTGAAGACTTTTAGGATCATCGGGGTGTGTGCCAGCTCACGGTAAAGCACGATCAGTGAGAGCCTTAGTGTCATCGGTCGCGTCTAGTTATGTTCAGCACAATCTTTATCTTTAAGAACGGGTTTAGTTGATTGCAGGGGGGCCGGCTGAGGGGACGATGGACTCAAAGACAGAATTTGACCTGCGGCGGGGTGGCTTATACAGGGCATGTTACCAAGCTTAACGGATAAGGACAGATGCGTGAGTTGACCGGATAAGGCATGGCAAAATTTTAGTTGATTTAGATCAGCATCGTTTGCCGTTTATAGAAGCAAGGACGACTGTGGTGAAGTGTTCACCCGAATCCTGACCAATAACATCTTTCTCATCATGGACAAATGTTGGATCGGTCGCACCGGCCTTGGGATTGACTGCAAAAAGTATCCAACGGTGTAATGAAAAGTTGGCAGGCCAACAGTCGCGGTCACAGACAGTTACCATCGATTATGGTCACAGTTGACGACCAACGGTCATGGTCAGTATGGCTGACCAGCGGTCATTCTTACTTCTGATGACCAGCGGTCATGTGAACAGTTGAGGCGGGTCACTTCAGGCACAAGGAATGGGTGTCAGGGAGTGAACGACGTAACAGAAACTGATATATAAAGAGGTATAAGCGTAGTTTTAGCTCCAAATGGGATTGAAAATGAGGAGTATTGATTTTTCTACAAAGGCACGCGTCAGCATCCCTCCGAGATAGAATACTAGTGGCCAACCAATGTTTAAAGGTTTACTTTCCATGTGTTTGTTTATGGTTCGTTCCTGTATTGCTTGGCAAAAGACAAGGATGCTCATTCTAGTTAGCCTGTGGTCGGACGCGGCAAGCATACAAGGCAAAGTCTTCAGACGGCTCAATTGGTCAGAAGAACAAGGGTATCAAGTATCCACATTTTGGGAAGGCGACCTCAAAAGAGGTTAGGCGACTTCAGTTGAGCGCCACATGTAGTCTTTGGTCGTGTGGAGTATTTCTTCGCTACCGAACCCAACTATACCCAACTTGGTCGAGAGAAACATCGACCTCAAGCCACCTAAAAGAGCGCAACAGCCCGCAGACGGGTCCACAAGGTGAGAAGGAACAAGACACGATGCACGATCCGGAGCACCCCCTCCGTTAGTTAGTCGTCTGGGCGTTATAATCTGCGCCTTTAATCCCTCAGCAATATTGAGAGTTGGGATTTCTTTGTAAATGAGCGAATCCCATTCCACCACAATTCGTCGCTTGACCGATGATGCCGCTAGCAGGTAGCCTGCCTTTCGTTTGTTTTTATTGGACCTCCCTAACGAGTGATAATTTATGTGATCGGTGGTGAAACGGGACGTCACCGTTTCATGCTCATGTGACAGTTGTATAGCAGGTCGATTTATTGTTTGATATATGAAGTATACATAGCACACATGTTGGTCTAGGTTGTGACCTAGATAGCAGTAAGAACGCATCATAAACATTTTCTGGTGGCGAGTGTGTCATCGCACACTATCAGCCAATAAGAGACGACCCTTTCGTGAGAGGCTCCCAGGTGTTTGGGACGCAATCATTCTTAGGCCATTTTGAAACTTATTTAAATTAATTTTGACTCTGACCTTGAAGATGCACGCCATTATCATGCGTTTTCCCGGCGCTGCTTCGTTAGACCTATTGTGTGTGCAAGCGTGATGGCCTCTTACCCCGTTACATTCTGCGAGTGACCGCATTGAAAAACAAACAAGCAACGACGTTCAACACGCACATTAGAATTTGACGATCGTGCCACAACAGTAACTGGATGTTACTGTTACACTACTTGTTAGAAAGTCATTTCTAACTAGTATACATTTAGGTATACATAGTAAACATGCATTGTAGCCAAGTGTAGTGGCTACAGTCTGTCGTAGTCTTACTCTGCTAATAAGTAGGTACAGACCCATTATCAGCCAATAGGATACGACTTTTAGTTAAGTGGCTCTCGTGGCTCAGAGACCACTCGTACTTAGAACGGTTTTGGTCAAAACATATAAAAATATACATCAGAGTTGAAAATATTTTACAAACGACACACGATTACACGTGCGTCTCATACGCTTTCTAATTTTTCAATTTGCCAGATGTTGAACAAGTGACTTATACTAGCCCACGCTTGCTTTTTCACTCCCGTTCGACTTGCAAGCCTTCGCTCCTCACCTCCCTTCGGGCCGTGTTGAGTACAAGCCATAAGCCTCTGACCCTCTTTGTACTTAGACAGTTAGGCGTCTACTGTTTTTAAATGGAATCTCATCCCTGCTTAGTGACTCGAGTTTGCGCTAAGTCTTCTTCGAAAGGTATCGACTGATTGACTCCAACTACTTTTGTTGTACGACATTAGCATCGAGCGGTGTTAGTTGGAAACACGTACCTGGAAGCTAGGCCGAACGGGCGTGGTCGTTGGAAAATTTAACCTACGTGGGGTGAGGAGAACACACAGACGTATGCTGTACTGCCACCTTGGTTCGGGTATTCAGGAACCTTTTGACCGGTGGTTGCTTAGGTGTCCCAGACACTAGAGCCGCAGCACCCGTCTTCTTTGATTTTCGTTAGGCCTTCGGCTGGCTTTATTAATTTACGTCTACACGGTATTCGGTGTTACTGCGGTTGGTACTTTGTACATTTCATCTGTCCGTACCACGCCTTTCCAGTATCCAGTGTTACTCCGGCGTTACTGCGGGGGTAACCGGTCCTGCTCATCTGGACCTTATCCTGCTTCTACGGTAAACGGCTTCTCTGCGTTATGACACTGTTGTTACATCGTTGTTACCGCAACGTTACTGCGGGGTGTAACCGGTACAGCACATTCGTAACTTATCCTGCTTTTCCACTTTACGACGTTTTTGCGGGTTTACGACGGTGTGTAACGGGCTCTTCCCATCCGAACGTTATCCCGCCTTTCTAGTATTCACTGTTGCTGCTGCGCGTAACCGGTCCGACCCATCTGTACCTTATCCTGCCTGTTTCCATGGGTAAACCTAGTGGGCCTCAGTGGGATAAGAAATGGCGTTAGGCTTGGCAGAAGGACGCTCCTAAGGTTGATTTTTCTTGTCCGACCGACGCTTTCTTCGCTAAGGCTGAAACAGCCTTGTTGAATCCGGATATGGACAGTCGAGACTAGCGGAGTGCATCCTTCGCGGAAGTGCCTCAACAAGTGTCAACTGAGCTATGTCTGCCAATGTGCATTCCTTCTCGCGACCTATCCGCGACTTTTTCCGATACGGAAATAATGACGTCGTTCGGCTCGACGACCCAACCGCTATTGTAGTCTGATAGTCTGGATCATTTACAGGACTTAAAGACGATCCGTAATGCTGGTATCAGTTCTACGTGTACGAATCGTGAGGTCTGCACAAAGTTAGGCGGCACGGTGGTGACCATTTGTGGTCGCAAATTTACCGTCCAGACGCACTGAAAGTACTCTCACTGGTACTATGTGTTTCTTCAGCGCCTACCTGCCGGTGTGTCGGATGGGCTGATTTGCGATTGGTTCGCCAAAAAGACACTCCGCCGGTGTCTGTTACTCCGGCCCATGTGATTGGAGGTCTTCGTTTAATTAACCGCCGGGTGTACTTTAACCAAAAGTCACCCCATCATCGGTCATGGTCGATCAGCACCCCGCTTCGTCAGATCCAGTTTACTGGTCAAGGCTTTACGGTGGTGCACCATCGTCTAAGAGCCTACAACCGGACTATTCATCATTTTATTGAGGCACTCCGGACTACAAAGGGTTCGGCAAAAAAGGCGGCGGCCACAACGGATTCGTCTAAATCGGACTCCGAGTCTCCGGCTTCGGCTGTTGAAACCAGTTCCGATGATAACGATACGATGGTTGACATTTCGGATAACATCTGTCCCGCCTTCGACGACGAGAGTGACGCCAACGATAACACCAAATGGCTGATGCTTCCGGCTTTGATGGTAAGTCACATAGTGGGGATCTTTTGGACTCGGATTCAAGTCATTCTGGTGCTATGGACGATATAGAGTCGACTCTAACGGTAAAACCTACGTCCATATGGCCCGCCGGACTGGCGACCCGATTTCCAGTAGGAGCTATCGACTCAGAGGCTTACACCCCCGCCCGTATTAAGCGAGCTAAGTGTTTGGTCTTTGGATCTATTAAGACTCCGGAATCTGAGGTGCAACAAATTCCTCCCTCTCGATTGGAATACCATTTTTTTCTCACTAAATTTTTACGAGTGGCTCAGTGAAGGGAAGAATGGCTCTATTTCTCCGGATCAAGACATAGTCTTATGGGATCGGTCCTTGGCCCCCTTCAAAGCAGTAAGCTCCTTTGTGGAATATCCGGCGGTATCCGAACGCGTTCTGGATACGGTGGTTTACAAAGGTTCAGTGGAAGCCTTAACGCTAACTGAATGCTGCTCAGTGATTGATAAATGTTTGGGTACCTTCGCTTCCGAGCAAGACCCGGATAGCTATTTATCCACAATTCAAGTTTAACCCAGCCTGTTTAGTGTTCTGCTCGACACCAAGGCTGCTGTCAATTACCAGCTTATACGATCGAAGTTCATTGGTCGTGCTGTGCTTCGTGGCGCTGCGACTCACCCGTTTTCTCCAACGAATGATAAGTCACTTTTGCAGCGACCTGGTGACTTGTACCACATAATCCGGACTTCGAATTTCACTCCGTCCTCAGCCAACTGTGCCCGGATCAGGACCAGTACTGGGGCCAAGTCAGACTGGCTGATCTCGATTTGGCTCTGCAAATTGTGGCACCCAGAATTTACTTGGACCCAATGAAATTGGGTACCATAATAGGGAAGGCGGCTTCGTCACTGCCTCACTCTCTTTGGCTTCTTTAAGATGACCCGACATTGGCGTCAGTCGTTCTCTGT